AGCGCTCTATCACTGAGCTACAGTCCCAGCCCCCTGTGTATTTTTAAAAACAGTGTTATTGAGGTAGGGTTTATATATCATAGGATCCACCTATTTCAATTTAATGATTTTTCAGTAACTTTACCAAGTGAGGTAAATAYTACTATAAATCAGTTTCAGAACATTTCATTTCTCAAGTAAGATCCCTCAGGTTACTTAAATTAATAAGTATTTCCACACATCAGCCCCATTATAAATCTACTTTCTGTTTCTGTAAATTTGCCTTTTCTGGACATTTCACATAATTAGAGTCAGATACCATATAGTCTCTTCTGACTTTACCCAGACTTGTGGAATAAAACTAGAGATTTTCCTTGAGTCTTTAAGGACATCACACATTTAAGGAAATATATATATATATATATATATATATATATATATTTCAGATAAAATAATAATTATAATAAATTTATTTAACATCTAAATAAGTTTAGATGTTAAAATTTAAAATCTAAAAAACTAAAAATATTAACCATATTCTCTATGTAAACTCTAAAATTTAAAAACATTAAGAGAAGTATTATATTACAGTACTAGAAATGCACAAAAATAATCATTTGTCTATTTCACTTGTTAAAGTAGAAAATGAGATAGCCATTCCCTAAAGCTTCAAATCATTTTAACATTTCAAACCTTTGCATACAATTTGGAACTTTTTTTTCCTTTTTTAAGGATAGGTATATAGCTTCTCTTTCCAGAAAAAAATTTAAAAATACTACTTAGCACCTGCTGCAGTCTAGGTTTGTGATCATTTCTCTCAGTACCTTTAATAGGAATAAGGTAATAATATCTTGGTTAGTGAGAAGGAGTCCAAGCTTTGCTCATGAAGATGCATCTGTTCAATAACTCATTTCTGCCTGTGCCTCTGAAGTTAGCAAACATGTACAGAAAGAAAGACAGGAACACAATCTTTTGACCCAGATATGTTGGATTTAATTATGCTTTTCAATCTACTGTGAATTTTAGTAACATGCATGCTTTCATTACAAAGAGAAAAGAATTCTTCACAGTACTACAGGAATTGCTGTTGTTGGCTTTAGGTGATGCAGACAGATTAGCTAGTGCTGTCACTGAATGCAATGAACGTGTCACTAAGCACTTTTGGCTCTGAATTCAATACAAAATATATTGATTGTTGGCTGAGCTCTTACATGATCAAAAATATTTATTCTTTTGCTTTTCTCTTGAAGCCATTCTAATTGTGAGGGACAGCTTCTAGGGGGATTAGGGAAACATTGCTCTTGTGATTATGTCTTCAATGCCAATTTTGAACAGTTATAGAAAGATGGGGAAAAAAAAAGTTATTCTGTGAATGACAGTCTAAGAAACCAGCAACAACTAATAACTGATATCTAGCTCCTCTCAAAATAAATCACTCCTTTAAGTTTTTTATTTTTATAGCCAATATCTAAAGAGCAGGAAAATAGTAAATACTTGATAAAAATTCATGCTTTCATTACATCTCAAGAAGAAACGAGACAAATATAAGGCTTGAAACAAAGGAGAAACAGATGGAAACAAGTCAATCTGGAAACCAAATATGGCAAGTTCTGAAACCCATAGAATTCAAATGATCAAAAACAGGCTATTAGCCAAAAACTACTTCTCAAAAGCACTAGAAATCGACCTTTAACCTGCCAGTTGAAAAATCAAAGGACACGTCAACATTCAGGAAATTTCAGTACTGAAAGGATATTTCTTTCCTAGTTTTATCTGTGTTTTTAACTGATAGGGTTCCTCTGCTGCAAACCAAACTCTACGTGTGAAATCAGTATTATACTGATTTCAATAATTGTAAACACAGTGATTTTGTTTGCTTGTTTGTGAAATAAATGAGACTTATCAGATCATAGACCAAACAAAAATGAATGTTGTTGCGTTCTTCCCTGCTTTTTAAAAGAGCAATTAAAAAAAACCCCTGAATACTAGGAAAAGCTTAAAAGCTTCAGGACAATTCCTTGAAAAAGAGTTGGTAAGCCAAAGCAAATATCACATCCAAGAACAGGAGTAAAACAATGTATTCCACACACGCTGCCAACTTCTAAGACTAGGGCAACTAATAAACTTTAAAGGAAAAAAGTGAGAGGACTTAGAGAAAGTGGGGTATGTGCATTTTGTACACACATACACACTTGTATTTATTTTTTAATTTAATATGCACAAACTAGATAATAACTTGTCCTGATAAGTAACTACAAATGAAAACATCTTCATAAATTCATTTCTGAAGAAATGAAAACTATCATGATACCTATTCTGTTACTGTAAAGATGTATAAAGGATTTAAGATTTATTTTTAGTTAAGTTGATCTGTTATGATCTTCAATTGTCTTTTGATAATTTGTCTCATAATTTATCTCACACGGAAGTAAATAAAAAGTAAAATGTAAAGATATCTCTGTAGATATGATAGGTCTGTGGATAGACAGGAAGTTGAACAAGTATTTGCAAGTGGTACAAGTTTAAGTATGAACAATGTGGTTCTAGATAAGGTTGGCTATAATTCAAAAAGTTGGAAGATCCAAATATGTATCTGTTTTAACTGGGGCTATGCAGTGCTGACCACAAGAACAAATATGGCTAGAGCAATGGTCAGCTATGCTGTCCCTCCTAATCTCACTTGCTGGTTTGTTTCTCAGAAATACAAATTCATTCACCAAACCTAAAACTCTTGTTACCTTTAGAAGCAGATTTTTTTTTCATTTTTAGATTGGATAAATAAAAAAGGATACAAACAAGAAATGTCTGCAATGTTTTTCATTATTTCACTATTTTCATTATTTTCGCATCTACCCTTGCCACCAGCTATGTAAGTCTGGTTTTTAAATTTGGGAGGAAACTTTCAAAAGGCCAGTGTTTTGTATCTATGCCCCTTATTTCCTTCACTTTTCCTTGCCAAGGCTAACTCCTCCACTGACTGAGCTTCCTCCTCCACTTTCTGTGGACACCTGCTGTCTCTGGGTTTCCTCCTCCAGGTCCTCCATCTCCAGCAGCTTCCTTCTCTCCACTCACCCTGACAATTGAGCTCACAAACTTGCCTACCTTTCATTCATCACAATATTTTAATTCCTCAACAAAACAAAGAAAACATAAACAAACAAACAAATACACAACAACAACAAAAACCCCCCAAACACTCCAACTCGAAGTTGTCCTGTAAGCAACAGACCATTCTTCCCCTTTCCTTCGAGAGACAAAGACTAGTTACACCTCCTCATCCCAGTAACCAACAGTGACTTAATGGAAGCTCTTATTCTGCCTTGAACTGACCCAACCTTGCTGGTCTCCCAACCCGTCTTACTATTCCCTTTAATCTTTCCTTTTGCTGTCACAGGGTCTTTTATAAAATACAAGTCATTTTCTGGTTTATGTTCCTATCATCATTTCAAGAGGCAAATCCAAACTCCTCAAGGTGGAACAGGACACCGTCTTTCATGATCTGATTGGTTTAGCTTCGTCTCTTAGACCACCTGTATTTTCCCTGCTGGGATATGGATGTGTCCCCCAAGGGCGCCTGTGTGAAGGGTTGGTGCCCAGCTCACACCTCCATTCCCTTTCTGTTACCAGCAGGATGAAGCCGAGCTTCTTCTGCCTCAGTTCTTCAGTATTTGCTATATTCTCTGCTTGGAAGCTCTTTCCTTAATCTTCACAGATTCCTTCCTCCTGACATCTCAGCTCAGGCCTTCCCTGACTCATCGCACTAGAATCATCAGTCTATTCTTAATTCCCTCAGATATGAAGTCCTCTAATCACGCATTTTTCTACTAGGCCTTACAGTCTTCCTCATTAGAATGTCAGGCTCATAGACACAGGGGCCTGGTCAGCTTTGTCCACTGATGTATGTCCTGCCTTAAAGCAGTTCCTGGAACCAGAGGGTTGACTGCCAATCATCACTTCAGTGAATAAAAGACTGACAGCATGCCTGTAACCTCAGTGGCTTGGGAGACTGTGGCAGGAGGATCATGAGTTCAAAGCTAGCCTGCAAAAGCAAGGCACTAAGCAACTCAGTGAGCTCTTGTCTCTAAATAAAAAATATAAAATACGGCTGAGGATGTGGCTCAGTGGTTGAGTGCTCCTGAGTTCAATCCATGGTGTCAAAGAAATAAATAAACAAATAAATAAATAAATAAATAACAGTGCACCTGGCATTCCCAGGACTGGATGACCTGGCCTCCCTCCACGATTCTAGCCTTATCTCCAACTAATTCCAGTTTGCTATTTCTAATCCAGTCATTATGACTCCTAACTGTGCCTATCTATAATACCCTGGTCTTTTTTCTCTTCCTACTTCATTCGCCTTCATCTTTTGAGATACAGCTTAAGTTCCATCTTTTTTATAAAGCAATCCGAAGTACTAAGCTCCTTCATTATATTATTTTTGAATGCTTTAAGGCATCTTTAAATTCCATTAGAGATCTCTAATACTTGTAACAATATTTTTTTTTTAATTTAGAAATAGGTTATCAGTTATCATAAAAGAAAAAATTCTTAAAAGGAAAAATGCTATATGCTAGGAATAAATTAAAATCAAGGCCTTTTTCTTTAATTATACCAGAGAAGTTTACTTTCAGGTATAATGTGTACAATCATGGTTTAAAAGCAACATTCAAACTGTTATAAGACTTGGTACTAGACAACTCTGATTTCTACTTTGATAGATAATATTTTCACTGAACATTCTATAAAAAGATAACCAAAAAGTAATTCTTGGACTTTATTGGGAGCTCAGCATAGTCCTAGTAGCTAATGTGTTTCAATCCAGAAAACAATAGTTCTTATTGCTTCTGTGGTATGGATTATTAGTTAGAAAATCCTCAAAATTTAGAGTGTATTTTAAATGTTTATATTGATCTATGGATTCTGTTGATACCATGGTCGATATATGCAGACACACGTACATATGTGGGTCTATATATCAGAGCTGATATATTGAATGGTGTAGGGGAAGAAAACTTGCCAACCTGGATACCAACTTGGCACCACCGTCCTCTGCTGAATTCATGTCATCCAAGCAGGGCTTCCTACGACTTAGCCGCAGGTTGACCTGAGGAACACCGGCAGACGGCTCTGGTTGCAGTACCCTGTGGCCATGAATAGATCCCTCACTCCTGGACTTTGGGATCTAAAAAATAAAATAAAATAAAAAAGGGTAGGGTGAGATAGAGAAAGAGAAATTTAAATGTTTTTAAAGTTAAGTTATTGAAGAAAGATAATTTTTTTCTAAGTTATTCACAGTCCAATGTATTGATATCACTCCAGAAAAAAACATCAAGCTGCAAGGAATTTAAAATACATACATAAAGATTAGACACAGTAATGGGTCCATGTAAAGACAGACATCAACATTTCCAGGAGGAACTTTCAAGTGATATATGGACCAAACTACTCTCTGGGATTCTGAAGCAAGTCCTCCCCAGACCACCCCTCCTTAGAACAATCACTCTATATGAAGAGAGACAACGGCAATGTGTCAGACTGGAAAACCAAAGTGAGGGAAAGAAGTAGTAGTTGGAAAGAGGTGGGGGAAAAAAAGGGCAGTGCTTTAGTTTGGATCTGGAATGTTCCCCAAAGACCCATGTATTAAAGGCTTGACCATCGGCTTGGTGCTATTAGAAAGTGGTGGAAACCAGTAAGAGGCAGGGCCTAGCGGGAGGCTTCAGGTCACTGAGTTGTGCCCTCAGAGGGGATTGTAGGACCCCGATCTCGTTCTTTTCTTTTTTGCTTCCTAGTTACTACAAGGTGAACAGCTTGCTCCACCATGCACGCCTGCATTGAGGTATAGCTTTGCCATAGGGCCAAAAGTAATGGGGCCAACTAACCATGGACTGAAATCTCCAAACTGTGAGGCAAAATAAACTTCTCCTCTTTTAATGTTAACTGACTCAGGTATTTTGTTATAGTAATGGAAAGCTGACTAACACAGGCTGAGAAACATTGAAATATAGGATGTCAGTGTCCAAAGGGCGTCCAGAAATATGTGCTATCATCAAGCAAGATAGACACGAATTTGCCTATAATTTTTTAAAAAAAATATTTTTTAGTTATTGATGGCCCTTTATTTTATTTATTTATTTATAAGCGGTGCTGAGAATCAAACCCAGTGCCTTACATATGCTGCGTAAGTGCTCTACCACTGAGCCAMAACCCCAGCTTCTGCCTATAAATTTTATTGTGTTTTATTTATTTATTTATTTAGAGACAGGTTCTTACTATGCTGCCCAACCTGTCTTTGAACTTTTCAACTCAGGCAACCCTCCTCCCTCAGGCTTCTAAATAGTTGGGATGACAGGTGTATGCTACCATGACTGATTTGTAAGCCTCTTCTGTGTGGCAAAGTGTGGTCTGATAAGCTTCTAAGTAAGGGAATAAATAGGGAAAAACATAATCTTTTAATTGTCTTATGTCTCTGGAAGCACAGGCAAGGAATACCAGGTTATATTGACTTCTCAGTACACCTTATGTTAGGCTCCTTCCAAACTCCCGAATACTCACAAGCTCTCTGATTTCAGATCAGAAAGAATCTGAATATAACCTATGTTCTTTACTAAATAATGTAAGATTTAGGACCTTGGGTCGGCGATACTTGTTACACTGGAAGTGGTTTCTTATCTGTAGGACTTTCCTCACACTTGGCCTTACACCTGGAATGTCATCTTTTTATTGCTGGCCACTTACAAACTGCCTAAGACCAAATCTGATCCTAACTTTCTTTGAGGATGAGATAACTTCATTGTCTATGGAGTTTCTCTAACTAACCTCAGGTCTGACTGAATGAGCTTTCCCAGCTCTGGACCCCTGTGACACACCACTGCAACCTACCCTTGATGACCTGTTGCTGGACACCTTACCCTTAGCTGTCACAGGCTTTCAGCACTTATTTTGTCTCAATCATCTCTCAAGAAGGAGACTAAAGCCTGCCTCTCTTCCTATGTCTTCCCTTCTTCCTCCTTTCCCTTTTCTTCCTCTTCTTTTAAATAGTAGTATTATTTTTAACTTTTACCCATATATTATAGCAAAATTTTGGATCCATCAATAAATATTGTCAGACAATATGCTTTTCAACTGTAAGATATTCCCAAGACATTGACTGCCCAAGGAACTAAAATAATATACAAAAAATGTAATATGAGGAACATATTACATGAACATCCTTAGTAAATTTATGTCTGCATGAGAAATAGATAAAATAATATATTAATAAATGCACAAGCATGGTTTGCCTATTAAAAATAAAATTAATTTTAAAAAAGCACTTACACACACCAGAAACATGAACATAATTTGGCAAAACATTGCATTCAACATAGAACAAAATAAACACTCAATAAAGGCAGGTTTTATTATTGTTGCTATGTAAAATTTGCCCAAATATGGTTATTGCCAATTTAATTGTTCAGAGAATTTCTCTGTAGAGTGTTCATAAGCTCACAAAGATAAGGAAAGCAAGGAAATATTTTTAAAATTATCTACTTATAAATACATTTCTAGTGGGCTGGGGTCATAGTGCAGTGGTAGAGCATTTACATAGCATGTATAAGGCACTGGGTTCGATTCTTAGCAATGCTTATAAATAAATAAAATAAAGGTCCATTGAAACTAAAAATATATTTTAAAAATTTCTACAGTCCATAGAAATATTTGTCAAGGTTATTTTTTTTTCATTGACAAATAAAAATTGTACTTATTTATCATCCACAACCTATTTTTTAAAAATGTCTTTTTATAATTATTAGCGCATATTAATTGTACAAAATGAAAGGTTTCTTTGTGACCTTTTCATACATGCATATAGCATCCTTTGATCATAGCTTCCCTATTATTGTTTTGAAATATTTATATACTGTGGAATGGCTAATTTGAGCTAATTAACATATGCATTATTTTACATACTTGCCATTTTTTGTGGCAATAACTCTTAAAATCTACTCTCTTAAGCAATGATCAAGAACAGTAAGATTGGGCAGGGGTTGTGGCTTGCCTAGAATGTGTGTAGCACTGGATTCAATTCTGAGCACCACATATAAACAAATAAATAAAGGTCCATCAATAACTAGAGTGTTATTGATGATATTTTTAATAAAAATATTTTTWAAAAGAATATTAAGAAATATTTTAAAATAAACTCTTTAAAAGAAATATTCAGATAAACAGCAAAAGAATATGTAAAGTATATTCATTTTCATATCTTTCAGAAAGGTGTTCTTTTTGCACATGACTATTTTTCATAAGAGTAGATTGAAAAATCCATAAACTATTGAAAAGGCAGTAAGTTTTCAAACTACCTAAAAATATATTTTAGACTTAGTTCTCTCTGTATTGAGYCCCAAGTTTTCCATTCTGTGAATATTTCAATGAAATTGACCTAGGTCATTAAAATAGGTTGAAAATCATAATTTTGTGCTTATACATGTTATTGCATAAATATTAATAATAATATTAATAATAATAATAATATTTTTGTTACTGGGGACTGGACTGAAACCACGAGTGCTTTACCACTGAGCTACATCCCCAGTCCTTTAATTTTTTTAATTTTGAGATAGGGTTTTGCTAAGTTGTTGAGGTCAAGCCTTGCCTCAAACTTGTGATTCTCCTTCCTCAATCTCCTGAGTCACTAGAAATTCAAAAATGTACCACTGTGCCTGGCTATTACATGATAATATAGCTATATTATTACTATTATTATTATTATGTAATATAGTTACATTATATTATATACTATAACTTTTTACAGGTGTTCCAAATTTGAGACAAAATGGGTTAAAAAATACAACAGTAATTGTTTGGCATCATTTCATGGTATTAAGAGTTGACATTTTATGGTTAGTTATGATTTATTGAGTTCTAAATTCCATTCAACAGTTTATGTGGAAGTAAAATATTCTAGAGGAAAAAAATGCAGCTTATCCTGTTCTATCAGTTTATAGTAAAATAATCTTCACAGAGAACTCAGTTACCAACAACTACATCAGTTTGAGTGTAATTTTGTGATAATCCAGTTTCTACAGAAATAAAATGCATGAATAAAGCTCATAACCAAGAATTTAAAAGATAAACGTTATTTAATAGATCAAGTTGACAAAAGAACTGAGCTTGTTGGGGCTGGGGTTGTGGTTCAGCGGTAGAGGGCTTGCCTAGCACATGTGAGGCACTGGGATTGATCCTCAGCACCACATGAAAAAAATAAATAAAGATATCGTGTCCATCTACAACTAAAAATATAAAAAACAAACAGAAAAAGAACTAAGCTTGGGCATAGAGTGTGTCACCTGTTATTTATGAGAGAACAGAACTGTTAGAGGAAAAAAAGTAACTCAGTAACTCTTAGATCACTAAAATTGGGAAATTACATGCATGTTTCAGAAGAAAAGCAACCTTGAAAAGATGACTGATATCTTTCTGAAGATGTACCTTGAAGACTATGGGGGCAAAATAATATGATAAAAGTTTAAAACTTGCTGTTTCACTAATGTAATTAATTTTATTTCAAATGCACTGATTTAGGAAAGTCCTTTATTTCAGCTGAAACTGAGCTTTTTAGAAACACCCAATTTGAACCAACATAAATTTGTACTATTCTCTCAGCCTTATAACMCAGGTAGGGGATTAAAACAACAACAACAACAACAACACCAAAACAAATGCTCTTGGATGTTGGTTTCTGGCTCTGTATAGTTTGGTGGCAGTGGACACTTAGACTTGGAGGTGGCACTTGAGGCCCTTTTCATTACTGACCTCTGAGGAGGATGAAACCAGTTAGTCAAAACCACAGCGGGCATGTGATTATAGTGCAGCTTAAAGTGTTGGTTCTCATCTGCAGTTGATTTTGTCTGGAGACAGTTTTGGTTGTGATGGGGGGGGAGGATGTGTGCTACATAATCTTAGTAGGTAGTGGCCAGAGTTGCCACTAATCATCCTACTGAAGTGCTGGACAGCCTGCATCCATAGTGCTGAAGTTGAGAAGCCCTGTTTCAGAGGGAGCAGTAGGAAGAAACCTGCATAGAGGAAAACTTCATCTCTTTTCTTTTGTTTTCATCTTCCTTTTGCCTTTGGAATGTTAAGACATAATTCATGCAGACCAGCTGGGAACTTAACAGAAGTGGACCAAGAAGCTGTTTGGGC